GTCATCTTAGATTACCAGTGAATACGCCCACATGTTATTTATTTTTGGATTTGTCTTTATGTGGCCACTTGAAAATGTATTCATAGGTTGGAGAGAATCAGAAATGATTAACTGGATTTTGCTTAATCTGATCTACAGGCAGAATAACTCCAGCCCAAGAAAGTCGTTACCTTCTTCATGTTTAATACTATGCCTCAAGCCTTTGCATTCAAAAGTGTGCATAAGAATCACCTGATCAAGTTATTAAAAATGCAGATTTCTAAACCCATGCTGAAGAATCTGAGTGAAGACTCAAGAGATTTGCATTTTGCATTTTTGTGTGTGTGCCTGTAATCAAACCCAGGGACCTGAGATGCTAGGCAATCTAAAACTGAGCTACACTCCCATCCCCAGTCTGGACTTTGACAAGTACTAAATGGATTAGATGTTGAGAATCAGTGCGTTAAACTCCCAATCGCTCTAGCTATTCAGAATTGTGATATTTTGAGTATACATTCGAAGAGATTGATGTTTATTTGTTGGTTTGTTTTGGTACTGGAAATCAAATTCAGGGCCTTGTACTTGCCAGGCAGGTACTGTGCTGCTGAGCTTCATCCCCAGACTGGAAGCGATTGATTTTTTTAAGGAGGTTTTTGCAGTTTACCACAGGAGTCACAGTGAGGGTTTAAGTCATTACTGAATGAAGTGGATATGAGAAAAGCAATTGAAGAATTTAAAATAGAACTAGTTTGGGTGTTATCATCAGTTCTTATCTTGAAAAAGCAAAACATACTACTAAGGTAAAGCTAAAATGACAGGTGGACCTTTATTATTTTAGGAAGGCGCTCCTTAAACTCCTGAGGTTTATAATTTTTTTCTGAGTAACTTTTACAGTCATAGAATTCTGAAGCCACTTCTAGTACATGTAGTTTCATGTCATCTTTATGGGGATAAGAAGATCTGTATCCCACACCCCTGTCATTTTAGATGAAATGATGAGATGTAAGAGAGTTTCCTCCCACACAGTATATCTTTACTACTCGTTTAGCTGGAAATAATCAAGGTGATTCAACACCTAATTTCACTATAGGCATTTACTCACAAAATACATGTATGGGAGAAAAAAGTTATTTTCCTACTATTTGCATGTTTTCCTTAATACATTTCTAGGTACTTCTTTAAAGCACTGAGCTCTTTGCTGTCAGATGGACCACTTTCCATTTTCAAAGCTTCCAATCCTGTTTCTGTTACGCCAGTTATGATTACAGAGTATACCACTAAAGTAAGCTCAGATCTGATTACCATAATCTATTTTTAAAGTAGCCTCTTAATACTTCATCTCATCTGGTAGTGTTTACCATGGCTACAGATGTTTCTTAGCTTGCGACAGTTAGCACCGACACAGATTGCAGTATCAGAATTTGCAGCTGCCCGTGGTTTCTACTCTTTGACATCTTAACTTTGAATCTCTTGTTCAAGCAGCAGCAGAAGTAGAACTGTCACTCTTGACAAACACCTTCAAATATTGACTTTATCTAGAAGTAAAAATAAATACTAAGAATACAAAATGATGTTGGTAAGCTATATTCTAATTTTTAAAAAGTCTATTAATATTTTTTATTATCCCACCCCCTTTTTATTATTTTTTAAATTAAAATTTTGACATGTAACTGGTGCATCTGTCTTTTCTTGATGGCATATGTCGTTTTGTCAGTTAGAACTTGGGAAAGCCCGTGACCCTTGGAGACTCTACAGTGATTGAGCAGTGGGTCCCATCGCTGACTGGCAACATATGTTATTTCAGTTTGTCTGGTTCCCTCTAAGAAACTTTACTTTCTGCTTCTACTATTTGTATAGTCCAAGAACTCTCCCTTCTCATGAGATTAAGATGAAAATCTATCCACAAATGCCCCTTTCTCCACCCATGATCTAGCCTAACTTACGTGTAATGATCTAGGTGAGTGAGATACTAGTCACTGGTGTAGTGTATCTGCTTGTCTCCCATTTATCTTGACTTTAAAATTAGTCCATTTGCATTTGACTCACTTTCATAATTCAAATCTGCTGTGCAGTTTGGTTCCTTGTCAAAGTCAAATTGCTTTTCTTGATGGGGCATTCCTGGCACATAGTGGCCACCTAAGGATTTGTTGAATGAATGAATGATGTTTACCATCTACATGCCTCACTTTTTCATATAGTTTTTTTTTTAAAAAATTGCTTTTACTCAGCTCTGTTTTTTTTTTTTTTTGTAAGATTTCTGGAAAGTTGGTAAACAACAGCATTGGCCCTAGGAATAAAAAACTGGCCCTATAGAATGATTAGGGACTCCATTTTTACACTTCACTTGTCAATTGAATATTCTTGAGATCACATATTTATTTTTACTCAATGAGGAAAACATATTTTTCTTTATAATCTTCTGCCCCTTGTTATTTTGAACATGCAGTTTTACTTCTGGTTGGCAATCCTGTACACTGGAAATCTCTCAGAAACATGGTTCAGGGAAAGAAACAATCATTTCTGTTTGTAAATACAGAAGAGTCACCTTGTAGTATATTTTTTTGAACCATTTCCTCTTACCATTCCTTCCTGATCAGCTTTTTGTTCCATGGTTTATTTTTCATGGTGCTATTGAGAAATACAAATGTTAAGTTAGAACTTATGGCAACTGCCTATTTCTCTAAAATAGGATATGAAATATGTGACCAGAAGTTGACCTACATCAGTGTCAACTAACCTAGTTTTTTAAAATAGTGAAGATCTCTAATCCCACTATAGTCTCCTGATTATGGTCCTTGGGAGATGGTGGCCCAGGGTCTGCATTTGAGCAAGAACTCTTGGCATTTGTATTGCACCCTTGCTTTGGACAGCCCCTGTCTTTGACCAATGATGCTTGAGCTCCAAACTGAAAAAATCACAAAAAAATTAATTCCAAA